GCCAATCGACCGCCTTGGCGCGAGAGAGAGAGAAATCACCATATTATGCACAGCAACATTCCCACGCAAGTCATCGCACGAAGGCGGGGGGAGGTGGAGCGCGCGTGGTAGAAGATGATGCATCGAAATCCAAGGCTCCAGCCTCCACGCGACAGCAAAGTTCCAGCCACGAGAGAGCGTGATGTGGCGAGCGCGCGTGTTGCTTTCCACCTTCGCCACAGGAATTGTTCTACCATCTTTTCCGTGGTTGCGGTGCGAGGTGTTGCCCGGGGGACGTCAGTATGTGTATTCATAAAGGTACATAGGAGTAGCAGCAGTGACGTCGAATAAGCAGGGAGTGGCACTCCCCAGCCATGACAACGGTGCCGCGCGCACCCCAAAACTATTCACGGTTCGTCAGCAACGCCGGAACCATCTGGTGGCGAAGTGCCGACTTGACAAGCTTCGCGGCTTCACCAGTTGGAATCCGAGATATTCCTTCAGAGATCTGAAACTCGGCGGACCTCAATATCCTTTCGCTGGACGTTTCCTGCTGCGTTCCAAGCGCGGCATTCTTTGGTAACAAGAGGATCGGGGGCCGGATGTTGGCCGCAGTTAAATCCGCTTGCCCGTCGGAGCCAGCCAGCTCGCGGACAGCAAGGCCAAAATCCGCATTACAAATAGACTCAAGAAGAGAAAAAAAATAAAGTACAGACTGACTCAACCCAAGACCTACGCAATCTTGAACTGGCTTCGTTTGTTCGTCCGATCTTCGATTCCTGAAAAGTTAGAAGTAACAAGCAGTCCAAGAGAATCAATAGTGTTTGTCAATCATCAAAACATAAGTCATGAAAATATATTTGCAACAAGATGCATTATATGAGTGAAAGCGTGTATGGGTTGGCTTGGATTGAACTGGTTTGACTGAAACTAGGTTTAGTTGACTAAGTCAATTGATGACTAGGTTAGGATGACTGGTCAAGTCCAAATCACTAGGAGAAGTGCTTGAAGAAGTTTAGTGGGGTTCAAAGATCATTTGGAATTGAATTGGAAATTAATGTTGTATATAATCATTTGAGCTAGCTCAACTAGAACTTATTGATCAATCATTGGTTCAATGGTTTGAAGATGAGGGGTTTGGTATAAGCGACTCCTACTGAAGAGATTTGGACATTGACATGAGGTCAAAAGTGGCCAGTGCACTGTGCTAGAAAGTATACTAAGCTGAGTGATTGTAGTATGAGGCTATAATTGTATGTGATTGAGGTTTGACTAAATGTTGAATTATTAAAAATTGAATGCTAGGATTGAAGGTTGATTTGAACTTTGATTGATTGATTTGATTGCAGATTGGAAGTTACATGACAGGATTTTTGATTGATTGTTCGAATGCAGGTTGATTGGACTTTGGTTGAATGTTGATTGAATGGAGGCTATAAGGTTGAGTGAAGTTTGAATGATTGAGTATGATTGGTTGAGATTTGGCTTGCATTTGATTGAAGGTGTGTGATTGATTTATGTAGGCTATGGATTGAAATTTGAATAAAGTTGGATTAGTCCTGATGACCTCATTCAAAAAATGAGGTCAACATTCTACACAATAAAGATCACGACAAGACATTATTTATCAATTGAAGGTATTTCGATTCTATAAGAATAAAACATAAGGTAGTAAAGTGTTTTTTTTATGTTAAGAGCGCACCAAGAGACTCATGAATTGGATTTCTTTTAATAGTTTTTACATTTTAAAAATAATAATGTTATGCTTATAAAGAATTTAGAGGGTGGACATAATGAGCTTGAAAGTTCATGTTTGGTTATCAAACAAAAAATTTGCAAGTTGATGGCTAGAAAAAAAAATATGATAATGCAAATAATAAATTAAAGAAATATAACACACCAAAGAGCTTTACTTGATCTAGTCTCCAAACAATTCAACATGTACACCCAACCAACACTAAAATTAGGGTTTCACTACCCTCAAACCCATCACCATATGTTCAAAAGCTCCATATGGGTGGATAAACTCTCAAAATCGAAATATACTCTTAAAAATACTGCAAAACTATGCTTAGAAAAATATTATCACCACTCAAAAATTTTGCTTAGACTAAGTAAAAATAAAATAAAAATTTAAGTTTTGACAATAGCTAATTCCTCAACAATGTTGATAAAACACCACTTAAAAGAAACTTATAAAATAATTAAAACAATGTACATCAACTTAAAAAAAAGAATTTGGCATTGGAAAAACTCACACAAATAGAATATTATACTAAATAAAAAAAATAGTGAGACTTATTTATTTAATAATTTTCTTTTAAGAAAATTGGATTTTAGCTAGTAAAAAAATAAAATTTCATGAGAGCTTTGGAGACAAGAAAGAAGAACTAAGGAAACCTATAAATTATTTTTTATTTCCTTCAAAACTAGTAAAAATAGTTGGTGGTGAAACAAAATGTGCAAAAAAGATAAAAAATAAGATTATTTGTTATAAAAATTAATTTAGATGGAAAAATTTTGATAATTGGAAAAGATATAAAGAGGCTCATAAGGAGTATAATAAAACAATAAGTGAAGCAATGATTTTAGCTTTTAATGATTTATATAATAGATTAGAAACTAAGGAGGGTGAAAGATTTATGTATAAGTTAGCCAAATAAAAAGATACAAGTAATAAGGATTTAGTTCAAGTGAAGTATTAAGAATGAAAATAAAAAGGTTCTTTTATTAGAAAAGCATATTCAACAAACATGGATGATATGTTTTTCTAAACTTTTCAATGAAGATTATGAGAATACGATTGACTTCAGTGACCTTAGCACCCCAAATGAAAATAAAGATTTTTTTTCAGCGTATTAGTAAAATTGAAGTTAGAGAGGCTTCAAAGAAAATGATGTGTGAAAAATCTGTTGGACCTAATGATTTCAATAGAGGTGCGGAAATGCTTAGGAGATGAAGGAATTTCTTTGCTTACTAAACTTTTCAATATTATTTTGAAAACTAAATAGTTGTCAGATGAGTGGAGAATGAGTGTGTTGATTCATATTTTTAAGAATAAATGTGATGCATAAGATTGTGAGAATTATAGATAAATTAAGTTAATGTGTCATACTTTAAAACTATGAGGGAGAGTTATGGAGCATAGGTTGTGGCTTGATACTCATATTTCTCAAAATCAATTTGGATTCATGCTGGATAGGTCTACTATGGAAGTTATACATTTGCTGAGACATTTAATTGAGAAGTATAGAGAGAATCAATAGGATCTACATATGATATTTATTGATTTGAGAAAGCATATGATAAAGTTCCAAAATAAGTGCTATGAATAGTTCTAGAAAAGAAAGGGGTTAATAATGTTTATATTCAAGTCATTAAGGATATGTATGTAGGAGCTATTACTTGTTTTCAAACACAAGGTGGTTTAACCAAGTATTTTCCTATTTCAATTGGATTGCATCAAGGATCAGCCTTAAGCCCATATTTCTATTGCTTTAGTCATGGATGTTCTTAGTAGACATTTGCAAGAGGTTGTACCCTAATGTATGCTTTTTGCTGATGATATTCTTATTGCTCATAAGGCTAGAAGGGAGTTGAAGGTAAAATTGAATTATGGAGGTCAAACTTAGAGTATAAAGGGCTCATTTGAGTAAATCTAAAATTGAATATATATAGTGTAATTTTAGTAAAAATATATCTAGTGCAAGTATTGTGACTTTGGGTGATCAACTCATTAATAAGAGTACACGTTTTCGATATCTTGGATCTATTGTTCATAGTGATTGTGAAATAGGTAGGGATATTTTTGGTAGAATTCAAGTTGGATTGTTGAAGTGGGGGAATGCATCGGGATTTCTGTGTGATAGAAAAGTCCACCTTAAACTTAAGGGAATGGCTTATGAATGTGTTTACCCTCATTTCAAGATTTAGTAAACACAGGACTTGAAATTTAGTGATGAAATAAAATAATGAAATAAAATGAAATTTCAAGCCCTGTGTTTACCCTCATTTCAAGATTTAGTGATGAAATAAAGAGAAACTAACCGATAATGGATTTCTGTCGTCATTTATTCACCCTCATTTTCTCCCCAAAATAAAACATTGAAATTAAGGTTTTTTTACGAATGCATTTATTCCGTCTTGGAAAATTAATGTTGGCATCCTAATAAATATAAATTAAAACACAACATTGACTTGAAAATGTGCTCTGGATCCAACGGTAATGAAACACTGATTTTGAGCACATAAAAAGTAAATGATTTTAATTCTAAAAATAATTTACATTTGGATATACTATCATAGATTTAAAATATGCTCAAATATATTTATTTCTTTTTTTTTGCAAAAGTTGCACTCATAACAAATGAGGTTTATTTCTAAAAATCATTATTTTATTATCATAAATTTTGACACTTAACAGTAAATACAAGTACATTTAGAATGAATAATTAGCTGATTAATATAATTTAAATTTATATTATTTTATTTCATTATAACCTAACAGAATACTTGAAAATTTCATTTTATTTCATCACTAAATTTGCTACGCTGCCATTAATGGAACAGTTCTTCTAACACTCTTCTGAATGTTACATAGGAACTGACCTCTAATTTTATTTTACCTAAAATTATCATGGCGAGTATAAAAAAGGGTGGACGCTAGTTGGAACTTGGAAGCAAAAGATGAAAACATGGAATGAATCCAGCGTAAGCCTTCATCATTATTAGCGTCATCCAAAGTCCAAACTATTTGGGAATGGCTTATGAATCACGTACAGATATTGGGGTTTGACGGAAGTGGTTTTTGCCAAATACGAAAAGGGAAAAAAAATCCCTTTTAAAACGAATGAGCAATAAAATAGTTGAATCAAACGAGGCATAAGACTCAAATGACTTCGATAAACCTCAAAACAGATGGCTTAAGCTCCAAATGAACTTGTCTTGAGATGTCAAACTGTTCCATGATTTCTAACGCACTCTACTCATTATACACTCCTTTTATTTCTGAAAAACGGATCTTTAACAACAACATCGATCCATTCAAACTAGTGATGAGAGTATTGGAACATTCACATAAAATTGCATTTAAGAATAAGAAATTTCAAGTAAATAAAAATGTACATATTAAACAATGTATGAGAAGAGGAAAAGCACATAACACAAAACCTATTCTGAAAAAGTAGAAGAATTCAGCACCAAGTGTTAGAGCCCCAAATATTTAACCATATAAGGGCCTTCAAGCTCATAACCGAGTTTCCTGTAATAATGGCGAGTGCCAACACCAGAAATTACAGCTATTTTTGATGATCTATGCTCCCTCCGAGCAATCCTCTCTGCTTCTTCCATGAGAAGTGTTCCGTAGCCCTGCATCATGAACCACAATGTTTTTAAGTGCTAAAATTTGCTCCGAAGCTGAAGATTTCAATTCAATGTCAGGTGCTGAGAGTAAAAACATATTTTTAGATCATGAGATCTATTTATGACCTTCGGATTTAACCCTAGACAACTTCAAATATTAGTTATATTAACCAAAAGGACATTTCAATTTTCTCGAATAGAAGCTTATGATCATCAGTTGGGGGATTTATTATTCTGTGCGGAGTCCAGAGTGCGTCCGGAGACCAATAAAAATGCACCATGCCACCCCATTGCTGGGTACCCAACTCGGTACCGCTGGGTACCCAGCGCTTAACCGGACGGTTCTCCCGTCCGGTGTCCGTACAAAATAATAGCTCCAGTTCAGGAGGAACACTCCTAGTCCCAACCAAAGAAGAAATCATATACTGCAAATCATCAAAACAGAAAGCAACTATGAAAATGAAGCTGGCATAGGCCTAACAGATAATTCATAACATTTTAACATGAGCTATGAGATGATCCACACATATCAGTCTCATATTCATCATCAGATTGTGGGAAATAATCTGCATCATATATTAAATACTTCACTCATGACCTGCTAAAGAATGTTTTTGTTGAAATCCAACCGTTCCCAGTGCAAGGGATCCGACGGACACAAAGATCAATCCGTGGGATGCTCTCATGGATCACGCCATAATGGAGGAACGAATTTTGGAAAGATTTTATTAAAAATTTTATGTATTAAATCTGTAATCTAGTATTTCTCTCATCCGCGCAGAAGAAAGCAGACGGGTGATGTTAGAACCAAAGGTCGCAGAAAGCTTAGCAATGGTGATGAAAAAAGAATCGTCATGGAAGGAGAAAGGTAAAGATACTTCAAAATTCAAAGACAATGATTCACTTTGGTGCAGCTATTGCAAAAAGTCAAGACACACAAAGGAAACGTGCTGGAAAATACATGGAAAACCCCCCAATAAGGAGTGGAATCAAAAGGGTGAAACAAGGAGCACATCACATGCCAACAACACTACAAGTAAGCCAGAATCACGGTCCAGCCTTGAAGAATTCAATAAATAATATATTGATAAATTGAAACGGCTCCTGGTATTTCTTGAAAAACCAAATGCTTCATCTTCACTTGCACTCTCAGGTAAGACTCCAATTTCTTTTAGTTTAAGTGCTTCCAAAAATCATTTAAAGGAATTATGGATCATTGATTCATGAACCACAGATCACATGACCCACTCACCTACCCACCTCATAAACTATACTCCTTGCCCAAACAACAAGAAAATCATCACTGGTGATGGTTTTCTTACCACAGTAGCTGGCCAAGGAGACAATTTTATCTCATTCACTCATCCTGAAAAATGTTCTCCACGTACCACAATTATTCACAAACCTAATATCAATACAAAAACTTACCAATGACCATAATTGTCAAGCCTTATTTAACCCTACTTATTGCTTATTTCAGGACCAGAGATCGGGGAAGAAGATTCGACTTGCTAAGAAGAGCAGGATTGTACTACCTAGAAGAACCAAACCAATCTAAAAATAATTGCTCTATATTATCCCAAGTCGATAGGAATTCCACTATTTGGCTTCATCATTATAGACTAGGACACCCATCTTTTCATGTCCTAAGACATATGTATCCATAACTTTTTCAGAAATTAAAAAATAAAAATTTTCATTGTGAAACCTATGAGTTGGCTAAACATAAAAGAACCTCATGCCCAAACAAAAGTGAGAGATGTGATACTCCTTTCTACCTTATTCATAGTGATATATGGGGACCTTCAAAAATCCCCAATATCTCTGGGGCACACTGGTTTCTGTCATTCATTGATGATTGCACTAGTCTTTTGAATCTATCTCCTTAAAAATAAATCTGATGTTAGCACCATTATTCCCATCTTTCATTCCATGATCACAAATCAATTCAGGGTAAAAATAAGGAGATTCCGCTCCGATAATGCCAAAGATTACTTCAACCAAACCCTTTCCTCCTACTTCCAGAATGAAGGGATCATCCATGAGTCCTCTTGTGTTCACACCCCCACAACAAAATGGGGTTGCAGAGAGGTAGCCTCCACCCGAGCTTCCCTATTTTACTACAATACACCCAAATCCTATTGGGGGGAAGCTCTTTTAACTGCAGTCTATCTCATAAACTGACTACCTTCAATAGCCTTAGGGCTCAAAACTCCAATGGAGACTCTGTCCTCTTTTTACCCCGAGTTTTAAACCCATCATAATCTTATGCCCAAAATCTTTGGATGCACTGCCTATGTTCATATTCACAGCCATGAGAGAGAAAAATTAGATCCAAGAGCACTCAAATGCATCTTTGTTGGCTATTCAGCTACCCAAAAAAGTTGTAAGTGTTATCATCCACCCACAAGAAAAATCATTGTCTCTATGGATGTTACCTTTGATGAGCAAAATTCCTATTTTTCAAAATCTCATCTTCAGGGGGAGACTGAACTTGAGGAAGATGAGAAAAATGAACTAGCACATCTTGACCTTACTCCACCACCTCAAACCAATCCACCTAAAACCCAAGATAGGGAAACAAATGACAAAGTTATCATTAGATTTGGAAAGGTTTACTCCAGACGTACAAGCTCAAGCTGTGCTCCAAAGCAGATCCAAGAATCAGAACCATCTCCTAGAAATAAGATAAGCTCACCACCTCCCTTATACCCTATAAACAACTCTATATCTTTCAACAACTTCTCATCGTCACACAAAAATTTTCTGATTACATTAGAAGATATTCATATTCTAAAGATATTTCTGAGGCCTTAGCTGATAAAAATTGAAAAAATGCCATGAATGATGAAATGCAGGCGCTAGAAAAGAACAAAACATGGGAGATCGTCAATCTACCGATAGGGAAAAAACTGGTCGGATGCAAATGAGTGTTCTCAGTAAAATACAAAGCTGATGGCACACTAGAGAGATATAAGGCAAGACTAGTGGCAAAAGGGTTACCTCAAACATATGGCATTGACTATCAAGAAACGTTTGCGCCTGTAGCCAAGATGAATACTGTCATAATACTACTCTCACTAGCAGCCAAGTACAACTGGCATCTGGAACAACTGGATGTGAAAAATGCATTCTTGCATGGGGATTTAGAAGAAGAGATATTTATGAAAATGCCACCAGGGTTTAAAGAAAAATCTGAAGGTAACAGAGTGTGCAGACTGAAAAAGGCTCTATATGGGCTCAAACAATCACCAAGGGCCTAGTTCGGAAGATTTTCTAAATTCATGCTCCTTAATGCGTATCGACAGAGTCAAGGGGATCATACATTATTCTTTAAACACTCAGACTCACAAACACTCAGACTCAGGAGAGTCACAATATTTAGTGTATGTTGATGATATTATTGTGACTGGAAATAATGAAGAGGAGAAAATTAGTTTAAGGAAAAGTCTTACTAAGGAATTTGACATCAAAGAACATGGTAGACTAAAATACTTTCTCGGAATTGAAGTAGCTAACTCCAGCAAAGGAATCTTCATTTCACAACAGAAATACATCAAAGATCTTCTAAAAGAAACATGTAAACTAGCTTGTAAACCAGCACCGACACCAGTAGAATATAATCTTAAACTAGGGGAAGCTAGAGAAGATCCAGATGTAGATAAAGGGGCCTACTAGAGACTTGTAGGGAAATTGATCTACCTCTCCTACACTAGACAAGACATAGCATTTGCGGTAAGCATGGTCAGTCAATTTATGCATAATCCAAAGCAGATTCATATGCAAGCGGTAGACAGGATATTGCACTACCTTAAAGGAAATCCAGGAAAAGGGATTCTCTTTAAGAGAGATAGCGGAATAACTCTAGAAGTATACACGGATGCCGACTATGCAGGATCACCGGTCGAAAGAAGCTCTACCTCTGGATATTGCACATTTATGGGAGGTAACTTAGTTACATGGAGAAGCAAGAAACAAAATGTTGTGGCAAGATCCAGTGCAAAAGCAGAATATCAAGCTATGGCCTTGAGAATATGTGAGCTACTATGGATCAAAATAATCCTAGAAGACTTAAAGGTTAAGTGGGATGAGCCCATGAAGCTACATTGTGACAACAAATCAGCAATCAGCATAGCCCACAATCCAGTCCAGCATGACAGAACCAAGCACATAGAAGTAGACAGACATTTCATTAAAGAAAAACTAGACAGTGGTCTAGTAAGTGTTGACCATATATCATCAAAGGATCAACTTGCATATATCTTTACCAAAGGATATTACAGTTCTGCCTTTCTCAGAATGATTGACAAGCTGGGAATGACGGATCCATATTTTCCAGCTTGAGGGGGTGTTGAAATCCAACTGTTCCCAGTGCAAGGGATCCGACGGACACGGAGATCAATTCGTGGGATGCTCTCATGGATCACACCATAATTGAGGAACGAATTTAGGAAAGATTTTATTAGAAATTTTATGTATTAAATCTATAATCTAGTATTTCCTCATTTAGATATCTTGTATATATCTATAAATAGAGAAGATAGTAATGAATAAAGCAAGCTTTTCCCTCTCGATTTCCCGCTTTTAACAGTTTTATATGTACTGGTTCCATCAAATGCATTAAAAACCACATGAAAATTACTAGAAACATAATATTAGGAGGGATATTTGTCATCGAACATATAAATTTAAGCCGGTGCTTTCAGAATTTTAACCTTTTTATTGTTATCTGACATTTTTTTCTTACTTCAATAATGAAACAATTTTTCTTACTTCATTCTAGCAGCAATAGCTTTACAATTAAGGAAACGGATGAAATCTTAAAAGATGATGGTAGAAAACAAATCAACAAAGAGAAATTATGATCAATAAGGTTACCTGGTGCTGCAGCTTATCAGCATCACGTCCATGCACTGGAACTGCAGTTCCGTAGACATGAAGCTCACGAACAATAGAACACCGTATGTTCTTCAATTCATCGCATGTGGTATTACGACCACATTTACGCAGCCGTAATAAACCAACGAGGATATCCTATCATACGCAAGATTAAATAGATTTATGCAGGAAAGCAATTTAGCTTACCAAACAGTTTTGGAAGCTGAAAATGGCAACAAGACAAAGTACAAAAACATAATCTACTAATGTGATATATTGGCATAATTTTTAAAGGCATCTCAACGAATATAAAATTTTACAAGTATAATTATTACCTGTCTTGTATCTTCATATGAAAGAAAAGTCTCCCAACCCTCATTTGCAGAATAATCTCGCCGCACAAGTTCTACTTCCTCTGGTTTGATTTTGTGATGAATGTCCTGATAATCATCAACAAAATAATGTAAAAAAAAAAAAAGTTTAAAAAAATAAACAGTTTATGAAAACTGAAAGTAATTGATTACAACAAGGAACCTGAATTCCAGCTTCACGTGTTCTAACATCACGACATTTTAAGCCCAAATCTTCCATTCGAGCCAAAGCAAGTTCACGGAGGTTTCCCTTCTCAACTCCAGAAGTAACTAATGGCATGGGAATATCTCTTTGAACTCTGTAGACGCGGGTCCATGGTGGTACCATGGCCAAAATCCTTGCAATTACATCCACAAGAAGCTCTGGTGGGTAATTCCGATACCTGTAACAAGTAAAATTTCTGAATTGGCAAGGAATGATATGCAATTATATAAATAAATTTAGACACTCAACTGCCCAGTCCTTGATCAGCAAACAAGCTCATTTGCAGCAATATCCTAAATGCAATAACCTGATAAATAGTATAAAATTACAGTACCTGCCAGTTTTCCAAAGTTCATAAAGACCAGTACCACGAATTACGAGTGTTGGGTAAATTTTGAGACCATCTGCCCTAAAAGCTGGGCTCTCAAAGAATTCACGGAAACTTTCTAAATCTCTCTCAATGCCAACATTTGGTAGATCAGGCATCATGTGTGCAACAACCTAAAGGAAAAAAATAACACATCCTGAAAATAACAAATTCAATTCAAGCACCAGCATTCTATCATGAATTATAGTAAGAAAATACAAAATTTAGAACCTTTTTACATTAGAAATTAAGAAATCTATGAGCATCATTTAGCATGAAATACTTAGAGAGAGAGAGCAAATGCAAAAGGACTCAGATTTTAGGGAACAACAGTGTCGAAAAAACTATAGGAACCAGATCACTCATAAAATTTGGGGAATCACTCACCTAAACAAAAGGATCTCTTTTTGACTTGCGCTTAACTCCCTCCCATATTACCCCCATAAATATGTCTTTCAAAGCTCTAAAATTGAAATTAGTGGATAGGTGGTGGTTATGAATGAATGACATTATTGGCGCGAGGGAAAGGAAAGCAACTACATACTAGATGATGATTACTTCATCTCACCCTTTCCCCTAATCACAGGGGAGTGTCAAGAGGATAAAATAATAATTATCATGATTTCTATGATCCGTAGAAGACAACCAAGTCATCGAACTATACTTGATCATAATGGGCAAACTAAACCGTGAGCATTGTAGTGTACCCATGGTTTTGGGTAGTTGAATATTTTGACTATAAAAATCTTGGCCACGCCAATTCCATTAATCAGTTTTTGGATTAGTTCGTTCTTCCAAATTGGTTGACATCACCTACTATCAAGCTCAAGTTCTGCAATTGTGTTCAAAACCAGACATTCACTATCAACCTCATCAGGAAAAAGGGAGAGGGAATTCCAACTAATAACACCTTATCATAATAAATTCAACTTTAGGCTATCAAATGATGCCATAGAAGCACGTGTGACTAAACCATTGACTATAAAGCCTTGGTTGTATTCCATCAACTCAAGCTTATGGAATCCTACATCATTTGATATTAGAACGTAAATCATGTGAGTGAATTTCCACCTGTACAATTCCGCACCCAAGGAGAAGAGAACGATAAAATATTAGTACAACAACAACAACATCAAGCCTTTATCCCACTACGTGGGGTCGGCTACATGAATCCTTTTTCTCCATTGTATCATATTAAAAGTCAAATTCTCATTTAAATCTAATAAAGAAAGGTCATTCCTAATATTTTCTAGCCAGGTCTTTTTAGGTCTGTCTCTATCTTTCTTAACATATGTCAAATCTAATACCTCTACTCTCCTAACCGGGTCATTGGAAGGCCTCCGTTTTATGTGACCAAACCATGTAAGGCGACTCTCTCCAATCTTATCTTCTACTGGAGCTACTACAACCTTTTCACATATATGCTCATTTCGTATCTTATTTCTAAGGATAAAGCCACTCATCCACTTGAGCATCCTCATCTCTGCCACACTTAATTTGGTATTATGCTTCTCTTTTAATGGCCAACATTTGGAACCATAAAGCATTGCAAGCCTCGCCACCATCTTATAGAATTTTCCCTTAAGTTTGAGGGGTATTTTCCTATCACACAACAAGCCCGATGCATTCCTCCACTTCAACCATCCAACTTGAATTTTGTTGATAATATCCCCATCTATTTCACCATCACTCTGAACAATAGATCCAAAATATCTAAAACGTGTACTCTTATTAATGACTTGATCGCCCAAAGTCACAATCCCCTCACTACCTGTGACTGCTTAGCCCTCAATAATTATTTTGGAATTGATGTGATGTGCATTAGATTTACCCCTAGGTTAGGAATGAAATATATATATTACTTTTCTTATAAGTGGCCATGCTCATGCAATGCTTAATAAAAGGGGGGAAAATGTCATGATTTTTATTGATGTTTCGTGCAAGTGCTACAGAATTTGCTCAACCCCGCTAAATAAATGAGGGATGAGAATCATTAATAATAAATGCTACAGGTGCTCTAGAGACTACTTAGCCCTCAATAATTAAGAGCATGGCCAAGTGTGTGGCTATGATGTGCTTTTATTTCCATATAAATTGCTTGTGATATATCAACTGCTTGGGCTTTTTATTAGGATAACCTTGCAGGAGAGTCTAGATTTCCTGCTTTTCTTTAATGTAAATGTTTTGTAATATATGTAACAATTGTGAAAGTGTCTTTGAGTTGGGATATTCTTATCCAACTGGAATTCTAAAAGAAAAAGACATCCTCAAAAGGAAGAGTCTTCTTTCATTTGGAAGATTGAGTTTGGATGGCTTTA